AAAGTTGGGATATTTTTTTTATATATGGCAAAAGTTGGGGCATTTTTTTTATTCTCTCGTTTTTTAATTATATATTTTGATGATTTTTTAATTAAATCATCAAAATCTTTTTTTAACTGATTTTTTTTTAATTTTTCTTGAGAAAATCCCAAATTATCTCCAAAAAGTTTATACTTTTTCGATTATCAATAATGTTAATATTTACATTAAATTTAGACAGCATTTAATCGAGCGATTATTTCTTTGAACAATGGGCCCGATTGGTTGTCGTTATGAACACTACGGGCTATAAAAAATTGCGGAGTCCTAAACAAATTATTTGTGTCAAGCAATTACCTACGACGTGCAACTGTCGAGATTAGTATACAACACGCGAAGGCATCGGTGAAGCCGAATATAAATGAGATATTTGTACCTCTTGCGACGAAGTCGCTAATTTAACCGTCGAATGTTTCCACCTTTCGATAATTTTGAGGAACTTTGAAGGGAACATTGTCCCGTCCGAGACAACTTTATTATACCTTATCATCCTAAGTATGGAGTGACTTGAACGCTATTAATCAGGAATAACTGAAAGTCAACAACACAAGGTTTCTTGCACTTCAATCAAGCTAGAACTTAAATTTCTAATAATAACACCTCTACAAGTAAGCCATTGAAGCACTTTTGGCGCGGGCATAAAGCTGCGGTAGCTTTGGAACGTTCAATTCTCCTGATACACGAAGACAGGAGGTTGTGAGTCGCAAGTAGAGGGGCCAGGTAGTGCCGACTAAGCCGTACCATTTGAAACGACCACCGTGCGGGGTTGTAAAGCTCCACGGATTAATGGAGATGAAGGCTATAAATTTATGAGTGAAGCGATCAAGGTACTTAGACTTCTCCTTGTCTTTCCCTGAACGAAGTTGCTTTGAGCTGGTGGGGTTTAAAAATGATGTATATTGACAGCATGGTAGAGCGGAACGCAGTCTAGACTTTGGCAAGTGAAAAGCGTGAGAGAAACTGCAAAACGATGCAGTCACCAAAATGGAACGATTGGTATAATCTATCTTCATGGATGAGTTCGTCATTAAGAACACTCAGAGCGCTGAAAGTGAAGAGTCGGTAGCTAAACCCTAAGGATCACTCGAATCCATTTTTGCTCTTTGAAGAAAATCTTGACCAGTTGACGAGACACAACACGTGTAATACCCTGGTATCGAGTGCGTGATAAAATCCCCTTTATAATTGAGCCCGAATATCGCGGCACACGCCAATAAATCGTTCGACTGACACAGTGCAAAGTCGTAAAGCTTTTGTTCGTGTCGTGTATGAAATAAATCTAAAGAGATAAAAATCTTCCCACTTTGCATTAACGCTTTGTATCAAAAAAGGTATCGGCATGTTTCAAATCGTGCCTTTTTTAGCAGTATTGACATAGTTGATGGCTATTATTCACTACTCGTGAGAAATAGTGATGCGCCTTTCGAGCGATTGCATTGAAAGCGGTAGTTTATGCCACGAGAACTGTCAATTGTACTATCGACGTCCAAACGTCTGGAGCAGTTGTTCTGCTCACATCGTTACAATGTAAACCATTTCAACGATGTATTTGCCCATGGTTGTGCAGATTACGGGAATTTAAATGTGGAAAACCACATTGAACACTTGCTAGCAGTGCTCGATTGTATGCGCTGATATATCACGTGAGCATTAAGTGCCAGATATTTTTAAGGAGATTCATCTGGAAGCAGATTCTGTTGGGAGAACTCACAAATATACAGGCCAGTGTGAGCTGGCCGAAGCCTCAAATCGCGGAAACTTATGAATGCTTGGCCTGGCCAGCTTCTTGTACTAGTAGAGTGAAACCTATGCCAACCCTCCACGAATTCCACCAATCTTCTTAAAATTAGTGGCAAATAATATGAAAAGGCAGTCACTGAAGCGATGAGATAACACCTGATAATGGCCTCAATTTTGGCTTTTTCGAATTCTGATTGGCCAATTCATGTCTTCTGTGTCGCTTTATCATTAGAAAAAGGATATGCAGTATTTCAATTTAGATGTCAATGGTATGATACGTGATAGTGTTTGGTTCGTTTACAGGCTGAGAATAATATTCTATCCTTGAGAGAAAACACATGCAATAAATACTGCTCTCATCAAACATAGGTTACATTTGCTTGGTACTAATCCATTTCTCATCGAAACAGACTGAGCATCGTTGTACGTTGCTCATTAATGGCGTAACACATACGACATACGAATCATATGCAACCTATGTTGCTTGACTGAAAACTTTGGAAAGTTAGAACTCGTAATCTCAAGTGATCTTTTTTTTCGAAGCATTTGGTTGCACATTTACCCCGTTAGTCTAATTTCATATATTGCTCTATTACAGCACTGAGCTAAATTATACTAAGCATAGAGTGATGCCTCACAATGAGGACCTCAGGTACAGAATCGCGTAAGAGGCGGATGATATAAACATGAAGGTCACTCTTAAGAGAAAGAACACATGATTTGCTGAATATTATGAACCGACGGGCTGACCTGTATCAGGGGGTAATCACTTATGTGCGCATGTGTGATCCGTGTCGGTGGATCGGAAACTTGTCGCATGCATCAGCGTCATTGGCAAGTCCACCGTCTCCGACGCAATGCTGGCAGCCGCAAAGTTGATACTTTATCTGCAGTCTCTCGAAAAGTGCCTGGTAATTATTTTGGTTTTGTGGAATGCTTAAGCAAGTTGGCAATTCTTTCTGCTGACAGCAATACTACCACTAGTGAGATCACAGCTAAATCGCTCCTCGATGAAAGTATTTGCATTCCTTGCTGATGGCCATTGTATCGGACTGGGATCCAACATCACAGCAATGATCTGGTCAACGTTTCTCTACAAGGGATTAAACGCCAGACTGGGCTTGCTCTTTCGCACACCCCCGCAGACAGATGGTCGGACGGATCCCAGTTATTGCGTGGTAAATCACATCATTTAAAGCGTTTGCGAACTACCGTAGTGCTGGAGCTCAATTCACCCGTTTATTGAGCTTGCGTTCTGCATACCGCTGTACATACATACTTATTCTAAAAAGTGACAACATCAAACCCGTAACTTATTATTGCCGCCGCAAAGCGGCTGAGACTTAGCGAGAGGGGCAATCTTTATTACCCATCTGACTTGCTGACGCCGTCTCAAATGCGCATCGTAGCAAATCAGGATTTTATCCTGAGGGAATTGAGCGTTATGCGCTACGTGTGCAGCACTAAAAATGGAGCCCAGGTGATACAAGGCCACATGCTGCTGCCAGGGGGAAAAGATACTACTTTTGTAGTGAGCGAAGATTTATTCAATTGTGCTACATTATATTTTCATTTTTGGGACCAGTGCAGCGAGTGGAACCGTCCATACCCCAAGTTCACGGCCCGGCCAGTAGCTGTGTCTGCAGGCTTATGACGACAAGCTGAACTGTTTACAGCAAGAACGGGAGGCGATGACCTCGACGTCTACATAATGCTTTGTACATCGCAATAGCAAAATACAAAGACTATCTAGCCGTATGGTTTACTGAAAGAAGCTTGTAAGGCCATCAACTGAGTAAGGCGGCGTATTTACATCACTCTTTGCGCAAATTGAGTACGACACTTCTTGGTCATTACCAGCGGTCAGTACCCGAGTTACAGCTCTCAGCGAGGTTTTAAATCTTATTAGACTACTGCTGCTTCAGGAACGGGCAGAACGTCTGGGTAATACCGGATCGATTGATCTGGTATCGTTCTCTAAGTGACGTCACTGCGCTTGTTTTGCTTATTTGGACCGGAAGACGTGCAACTCTGACGCAATCCAGCGAAGCGTAATTATATAGCACCGACAGGACAGACACATCACGATTTGTGATTCCTCAACATAAGTATTTATCTTTTATGAGACCTACGAAACCATTAACAGTGGTTTCTCGGTAGTGAGAAGTCTGACAGCTATTTGAGTTGCCACTACCGGTGGGTCAAGCTGTACAAATGGATGAGCACCTATGTGCGCAGTGTCAAAGAGTGAAACCTTCTCCGAAAGCGCTGGTCGGACTGTCGGTACCCTTCGAGTGTTGGCAGTCCATGGGTTTGAACTTTGTGATTGGCCTGCCGAAGGACTCGTCGGGCAACACGGGTGTGGTGGCCGTTGTGGATCCTTTGGGCAAGTCAACTCATCTTGCGTCAGTCCCGAACACCATCGACGGTGTGGGTACAGCGACGCTGTTTGTCGATCGTGTCGACATCATTGACTCCCGCGATAAATTGTCTTTGATAGAGGCATGCGCTTCTTTGGGAAGTTTTGGTCTACACTCTTCCGGGTACTGGGCACCAAGTTGACTATGTCAAAAGCGGACCATCCGAAGATCGATGGTCAAAGTGAACGCGTGAATCGCGTTGTGAAGCCGTCCTTCGCAGCGTCTGCGCTGAGACTCCGAGGCGCTGGAGCGCCATGCTCTATAGCTCGCTATAAACAATGCAGAGCGTTCGTCTTCCGGCTACACGCCGTTCTACGTGAACGGGCTCGCTCACCTCGCGACCCGCTGACGCCGCATCCCATAACTCAGGGTTTGGTCGGGAGGAACAGCCGAGCGGCTA